AAAATACACCGATTGAATAGAAAACGACGACACCAGCACTTAGGTTGATCTTTCCGGACGGAACAGTGCAGCCAAAATCGACAAAAAAGCAGCATTCATTTCATCATACAAAAAATATTTCTTCATGTTGCGAATGGATGAAAATCGATGCGAAAGCAATCTCATCAGAGAATCGCAGCATGTCGCTATGATCTTGTTCGGATACCGAAAGACCTTACATCTCGCGGTCTCGACACAGAGACGAAGCTGAGCATCACACCACCAGCGATAAAAACATGAATGACTGTGATTAAAACCGAACGGAAAATGAAAAAAAAAAAGATTGAATAAATAGTTTTTGTCAACAAAAATTGCCTGAACCATTAGAAACTCTACAAAGAGTTTGGCAACGCTAGACAGAAGCCAAGTTGTCAAAAGAGCCCTTTCTGCGGAACTAAGCAGAAAAAACTAAGCAGACAGACAATAATATAAATTAGCAAAAAATTTCTATTTGCAAAAAAAACATGACTCAACTGGAATCGAACTCATGTGCTTCGTCGTCTCAAGCATGGGGGGTTACAGCAACTTGGAATGAAGATGAACCATATAATTACGGGAACCAACGAGACAAAATAAGCACACGGACGATAGCCCGAAAAGCACAAAAACTCTTGTTAGCAAAAAGGGGCCCGGCCGGATTCAAAACTTATAAAAAATAATAATAACAAAGGATTTAGGACTAATCCAAGGGTTCGCATAAAACCCAGTGATTGGGAGGTTCAACGTTCGTGTTTCAGTTGTTAAAGTTAAGTTTCTTCAAATCTCTACAGTTGTTGCAGCCACATAATATCCGCCAAGTGCATGAATCTGATTCGTTGTAGCGGGTTTTGAAGAACTTCGTATAAACTTCCAGCAGTTTAATTTTGCACCCTGGATCAAAGATTATGTCAAATTTGAAGTAATCGTTAAAAAGGTTGGCCAGACGGCAAGCTCGAAACCAGTAATCTGATTCACACTTCTTCAGACGTATTTGTTGGCAGGCAAAATTTCGTGTTGCTTGTGTTCTTCGATGTTAAGTCCCTTTTCCCCTCAGCGCACACACACGCGCACAAAAATTTTTTTCGGTAGTAATGACACAATAAGAGGCCACTAAGTCGATATTAAGTTAGCCGAAAATTATTAACGCGATAAAAAGACAAAAAATGAAGAAAAAAATTAACAAATCGAGCTGGTAAAATTATAACCTATGTGAAAAACAATGTGATTAGGCCGTTTTTTAAAATGCTAAAAGCAACTGCAGTGAGACTTGTTTACAGCTAAAATAAGCAAATCTTAGATGTGGCAAGTAAGCCGACAAAACATAAGCAGAGAAATATTAAGCCGAATTTTTTTGATCTAAATATTTACCGTTTGAAAAAAAAACTTCTACAAAGTCTACAACATGTTCTGTCACAAGTAGTGTCCCTCAAGGTTCTCTATTGAGACCACTATTATTCATAAATACATCAATGACCAGAAAATGTCAATTCTTTCGGATATGCTGATGACTTCAAGGTTATTGCTACAAGCAAAAGAGAATTAGATATTGATACTGCGTCATTCGAAAAATGGTGTAAAACTAACTTGATGCGTCTCAATGCTGGAAACGCACTCTGCCCAATTTTGAAAATAAGTTAGAAGGCCGAATCAAGAGAAACATTCTTAAAAATGAAACAGAAGATTTAGGAATAATTGTTACCCCAACTCTTTCATGGAATGTTAATGCATCTAAGTGGTGTTATAAGTCAATATCGGCCTTTTACTCATTGAAACGTAATCTGTCAAAAAACTGTCCCATAACGTCAAAGCTCAATACCTACATAGGATATGTTGTACCGCTAGGAGTTCATGGCGCGTCAGTAACAAAACACTCATCTAACCTTAAACTAATAGAAAAAGATCAGCAGACAGCAACAAAATGGATGCTTGACTCATAAACCCTATACAAGGAAAGACTGCAGAAACTTAGACTTCTGCCCCTGTCTTTATACATCGAAATACACGAATTTCTACTTTTCATATCCGTTATTCGAAATAATTATGAAATTAACATCATTCAATAGGCCACATGTATCCGAATTTTAACCAGAAAAAGGATAGAAATGAATTTCAAGTGCCAAAAATTCGTTTAAAGAAGACCAACACTGACTTCTTCGTTAGATGTCCAGCATTCTTCAACATCATCATTCGAAATACACCAAAACAGTTATCGGAGATAAGAAAATCTGCCATAGCAGAAACTTATTGAAGTTTTTCGCAAAATATTCAGAAATGGACAGCTGCACATTGCAAATATTGATTCAATGTGGAAACTGTAACCCAAATAACAAAAACTCAGAATTCATTAAACTATATTTTGGATTCAAACCCATGGGATAAAAACCCTAAATACTATACAACTACTACTATCACTGGACACCTTTACAAACCTCGTTTGACATTCGACATAACATCAAGCAGTCTTCATTCATCGACTGGCTGTAGAACCAGGTTTAAAGTCCACAATAAAGGCTGCAACTTAAGGAGCAGCAGCCGACCAGTGAACCACAGCATCAGCACGACTCGTAAGCACCAACAGCGTCAAGGATCACAAAAAACAGCCATAAAAAAATTACCTGAAAAAATGAAATCCTCTTCCCTGGGAAAACAACCAGCCCTTGATATCTGATGCTACTAAGCTTCAACTGCCTGAGTCACCAAAAGTTAGATTATTTTGCTAGCCAACACAAAATTGCAGAACCGAGGAGTGGAAGAAGGAGCATCACACCTTTCTTCACACCAGCAACAAAAATTCAATGCCAACAACTCGTCACATAAAGCACCATAAAAACAAGATCAGCCTTCGATACTATGAAAAAACCAACTTGACACTGAAATCGACATGTCACATTCAGAATTGCCGAAAAAATATATGTTTTCATGCTTAAGTCACATTTCCATAATCGTCAGTTGTTTCTTCAGCACCTGAGACCAGATCTCCAATTTAACGACATTCCACAGCTTGATCAAACCTTGCCATATTCGAACACTGCCTCTGCCAATATGCCAATTGTTATGGGACGCTTACAACAAAAGCGAATTCGAATGGGACAAAAAATCAACGTCAAAATGGACTGAAACATTTCGAATTTCGAACCCTGGACTTGTCAACGGTGCTTACAAAAGGAATCAACAACTTCCTTCCAATCACATCATCCCACTGCCTTTAAAGGGAATCGGACTAATCATGAGATGCGACTTCGTCAGTTTGTGACACCAACATTAGTTATCAAGTCAGCAAAAAATACACCGATTGAATAGAAAACGACGACACCAGCACTTAGGTTGATCTTTCCGGACGGAACAGTGCAGCCAAAATCGACAAAAAAGCAGCATTCATTTCATCATACAAAAAATATTTCTTCATGTTGCGAATGGATGAAAATCGATGCGAAAGCAATCTCATCAGAGAATCGCAGCATGTCGCTATGATCTTGTTCGGATACCGAAAGACCTTACATCTCGCGGTCTCGACACAGAGACGAAGCTGAGCATCACACCACCAGCGATAAAAACATGAATGACTGTGATTAAAACCGAACGGAAAATGAAAAAAAAAAAGATTGAATAAATAGTTTTTGTCAACAAAAATTGCCTGAACCATTAGAAACTCTACAAAGAGTTTGGCAACGCTAGACAGAAGCCAAGTTGTCAAAAGAGCCCTTTCTGCGGAACTAAGCAGAAAAAACTAAGCAGACAGACAATAATATAAATTAGCAAAAAATTTCTATTTGCAAAAAAAACATGACTCAACTGGAATCGAACTCATGTGCTTCGTCGTCTCAAGCATGGGGGGTTACAGCAACTTGGAATGAAGATGAACCATATAATTACGGGAACCAACGAGACAAAATAAGCACACGGACGATAGCCCGAAAAGCACAAAAACTCTTGTTAGCAAAAAGGGGCCCGGCCGGATTCAAAACTTATAAAAAATAATAATAACAAAGGATTTAGGACTAATCCAAGGGTTCGCATAAAACCCAGTGATTGGGAGGTTCAACGTTCGTGTTTCAGTTGTTAAAGTTAAGTTTCTTCAAATCTCTACAGTTGTTGCAGCCACATAATATCCGCCAAGTGCATGAATCTGATTCGTTGTAGCGGGTTTTGAAGAACTTCGTATAAACTTCCAGCAGTTTAATTTTGCATCCTGGATCAAAGATTATGTCAAATTTGAAGTAATCGTTAAAAAGGTTGGCCAGACGGCAAGCTCGAAACCAGTAATCTGATTCACACTTCTTCAGACGTATTTGTTGGCAGGCAAAATTTCGTGTTGCTTGTGTTCTTCGATGTTAAGTCCCTTTTCCCCTCAGCGCACACACACGCGCACAAAAATTTTTTTCGGTAGTAATGACACAATAAGAGGCCACTAAGTCGATATTAAGTTAGCCGAAAATTATTAACGCGATAAAAAGACAAAAAATGAAGAAAAAAATTAACAAATCGAGCTGGTAAAATTATAACCTATGTGAAAAACAATGTGATTAGGCCGTTTTTTAAAATGCTAAAAGCAACTGCAGTGAGACTTGTTTACAGCTAAAATAAGCAAATCTTAGATGTGGCAAGTAAGCCGACAAAACATAAGCAGAGAAATATTAAGCCGAATTTTTTTGATCTAAATATTTACCGTTTGAAAAAAAAACTTGTCCTCGTCAGACTCGATCACAGGACCTTTGCCATCCACAAAGTCCACAATTCTTAGGCAGACGCTATTTGAGCCGGAAAAATTTCTCTTAATAAAATAACTTTTTGAACTCGAAGCTTTAAATAAATCCGAAGAAAAAATCTCTTTTTCATTGAAACAACGTAACATAAGCTGATTAAGCCAATATAAAAAACCGAACAAAGCCAAAAAATATACAATCAACATAATTTAACTCTCGCAATGAAAAACGCCTTTTGTGCAATTTTACTATTAGTGACTATTCAAAGTTGTTACTTACATTTTGAAGATATCAACCATAGCTTCAAGAACATGGTCACGCATTTCTTGCAGGGTAGACTGAAACGCCAATTTATTGATGTTATTTTCCAACTACATTCTTAGGTTTCAAGGCACTGATTAATGAAATACTTACAAATATTCCATTACAAATAGTCTCAATCAGGTCGTTAAACACATCAACAGCATTCTAAAGCACAAAAAATGAATTCTAGATTTGCTACCTTTTCTGTCCACACGATGGTGATTGATCTTTTAGCAGGCCAACCTTTTACCAAAAAAGTTATTACCTGGACCTTTTTACCAGATTCGATAAATATTATTGATTGGAAAACGTACTGACACTGTTTAGTCTGTTCAAGACAATAATTTCAAGGTTAATATACGAATTTTTGATTGTTCTAACCGCTTCTTTTTCGAATCTTCCACAAAGTTAAACTTTTTTCAATTAAATTCTTGCCATGGAGTCTGGTAAAAGATCAATTTGGTTAAAAAAACCTAGCCCCAGAAACGCTATAGGTATAGTAGTAGTAGTAGTAGTGTAGGCTTTAGGATTTCTCCATGGGTTTTGAACCCTCGTTTATAAGTTCATAATTTTTCCCGGTGGGTTGCAGTTTCCACACCAGCAAAGAATTCTCCACATACACAAGTTGTTTTCTGCAAAATTTCTGTTGAAGAATTTCCAAAACGTGTTTGTTATAGATATTTTCAGGCTGTCATAATCTTGATTTTCGAAGTCCACAATTTGGCTAAAGTAGTTGTATAGCGTATTAGAACGTATATAATAATTTTCATTTGACTTTTTCAGTCTTGTTGCATGAACAGCAATCTCACCACGTGTTGCTTGTCTCGTTCGTGATTCGTTTTTATGAATAATTGTATTCAAATCAATGTCATGTTTATTTTTTAGTAGTGAAACTAAGTACAATATGTCGTGTAATTCAAAGTACATTGAGAGTGGAAGGAGCTTTAAAAATTTCAGTCTTTCAGTATAACTCATTTTGAAGTTATTTGTAATCCAAGATGTCGCTCGTTTTTGTACTCTTTCTAGTTGTCTTAATTCTGCTTTGTTCGGATACCATGTTTGCGATGCATAGCTTATGATTGGTACGATGTATCCGCAGTATAAGTTTAATTTTGACTTTAATGATGTTTTTTTCGAGATAATTCGTTTGATTTTGTAAAAAGCTCCCATTGCTTTTGATATGCGATTTTCAGCATTTACTGACCACGAAAGGTTGTCACACATTAAAATACCTAAGTCTTTTTGGGTCTTTGCGGTATCAACATTTGTATTAAATAGTGTAACTTCCATTTTCCCTTTGAGGTTTAACAAATTACATTTATCTTCATTCAGCGGCATTTTATTTTCTTTGCACCATTTTTCAACATTTGCCGTGTCTTTTTGCAGATGAATTTCTTCAGTAGACAAGATCTTCATATCGTCACAATAGCCAAAACAATCTGAATTCTCAATGTATTTGGGAAAGTCGTTAATGAATATGATAAAAAGTAGAGGGCCAAGAATTGAGCCCTGTGGTACACCGCTAGTTACTTCTTTCAGAGTTGATGAACTTTTATTGATTTTCACAAACTGCATTCTATCTGTTAGATAGTCTTGTATTATGTCTCGTATTTGAATGCTTAGACCTATGTTCCGTAGTTTGGCGACTAGGATACTATGAGGAACTTTATCAAAGGCTTTAGAAAAATCTAGTTAAAGGACTGAAAGTGTTTGAACATTTTTGTCATCGTAGAGTTCATATACTTTGCTCAAAAATTGTACCATTTGTAGTACTGCTGACCTTTTTTGCCGGGAGCCGTATTGTGCGTTTTCCAGGAAAGGTTGAACTTTGGGGTATATATTATCAAAGATATATACATTTTTTAAAGGTTAGATTTGAATAACTATATTCCTTAACATAAAGCAAAACTCACCTTGAGAACCCGATCAACAACCAAGTCCTCTGCCATTGATTTAAACGAAGTTGTGAATGACCTGTGAAACAAGCAGGTAAAAAGAGCAGAAGTGGACATTCAGCTTTTCAGCGGAGACAAAACAATCTAGTGCAAATAATGCAATAATTCTAGTTCACGGCCTAAGACTCAGTAATTCTTAATACTTAAATGCTTTTACCAGATATTCTACTTACAATCTGAAATTGTTTATAAGTGTTTGGATTCTGCTAAGATCATCGCACGCATTGCTGATCTAAATTAAAAGAGAGAAAAAATTAATTCCAGAAGTGTCAAACATGTGTAAATCCACGAAAGATTATAAATGATTGCAACGACTATAAAAGATGAAACTTCTTAGACACCGCGACTTCTAAATCAGTTACCTTGTTCACACTTTTTCCAAAGGCACTTATGCGCTCTTCGTACCCTTTCAGGTACGCTTTAAACAGTGGCGAGTCTCGCAGTGCCTCGTCAAATAATAATGATTGTTTCAAAACATTCATATTTCTAAAAATAAATGAACATCTAAGAAATGAACTCAAAATTGAAAATCTTTTCATCTAATTTTTGAATGAATCATTTACTTATGTTTGTAACAATCGCCCGGAAGTACATATCGACGGAAAATAAAGCTAGGTTTTAAAACGACTGGCTAGCGTCTAAATACAGCTCTATATGCTTTTCACCGTCCCTGCCAAAGCCAGTTCTTTTGGTGGTCTTTCTAACATCGGGTCGACAAAAAAAAAACGTTACTGTTTCCGGCTTCGATTAGAACGCTCTAATTAATTTGATTATATGCAAAAACAGTGAGCTCATGGTTGGGTCTCAGGATCCCCAGACCACGAGATTACTCCTAAAAACAGGGCTACTAATTTATGTGCCAGTCGGTCATATTTGGAAGTTTGACCTTGAGAAAAGCAAGAGCACTCAATTTTGGGGTGAAATTTAATTTTTCAAAAATTCGAATGGAGCCTGTCATGCACGATTTTCTCGCGATAACTAAAAACCGAAGAAGAGAATTCAGAACGATCGAACAAAAATCGCGGGAAAGTTGCAAGAAAAATCAGTAGGAAATTGCTATTCGCAATTTCCGCCACAGTAATAACCTAGAGTAGAGCTGTCCCATTCGAAACAGAGACAAGAGTATTCCCACGAACTGGATTATTGTGACTTGACTGGAGTATTATTCTAAACTGGACTAGAGTGAACCTTCGGTGGAAAGGTGGACAGCTTGAGTGTCCCAATGGTTCACGAGAAATTATAGTCTAGAGTACAAACTTGTTCTTGTTGTTAAAACTGACAAAAATCAAACTCATTTTAATTACATTATTTAATTCTCGAGTTGATTACCGACTTGATTACTCCCAGTTCTTGAGCGTGCTACAATGTGAGTACAAATTTAAATTTCTAGAGTGTGTTTTATGATTATTATGTTGAGGTAAGGCGAGTTTTAGGTTGATCCATCTGAAATGGATCAAAGTTCCACTGTCTAATAAAAAAGTAACTTAGCGGATTGTTCCGACCCGGTTTTTAACGGCGTTCATGTATTTTGGGTATCTAGAGACCTGAGTATGGGGACGTTATTAATTCTAGAGTGGGGGGATATTTTAGTAGTAGCCTTTAAGCTGTAACGGGTCGTAGTCTCATGTCACAAGCGAACCGAATTGGCTCCGACTGATTTGAGGTAGAAAAACTCAAGAGATAGTGTCCCTGACTCTTGAGCCAATGGTTATAGGGCCTATTTTTCTTAAGCCTCATATGTGACTGCAGTAGACGAATGTTACATAGTGTTTTTATGGCGCTCCTGGGTGTTTACGACATCAAGACTACGGAGTCGAAATCACTTGAGACAGCTTCGGGCTGAATGCCCATTCTAGAGTACCGGCGGTGCGGTTCGACAGGAACGTGCAAACCTTCCGGTTGTACCGTGATAGCTTCTTAAGTAAACTCGAGAAAACTTCCTGGTACGCCCTCCGAACGAGGCTTAGCTAACCGAGTAAAGGGGGGCAACTAGGGGGACAAAAACACGAGCAAAAAGACAAAAAGCAAAACAAAAACCATAAAACGAAAAAAGACAGTTACTTTGACACCAGATTAGTTGGATCAAACCTTTATATTAATTAAATAGTATACCCATACTGTTTTACAAGTTCGATCGTTTCGATCAACCTAGTAATTTAACCCAGTAACCTGAATAAAGAGCCCGAGTGTGGGGCGTTGTCAAGGGTTTTCAGATAGCTTGGAACTTAGCTGGACAACAAGGAGACTTGACTGGAAGAGGTGACCAGCCAAGTGGGAAAGTGGTTCAGGAGCACTTGAGCTGAACCAATAGGAGACTCGACTGGAAGAGGTGACCGGCCGAGTGGGAAAGTGGTTCAGGAACACTTGAGCTGAACCAATAGGAGACTGGACTGGAACAGGTGACCAGTCGAGTGGGAAAGCAGCCAAGAAGGATTTGGCAGATCTCGAGTTCGCAAGTTGGGCAGAACGGGTATCGTTAAAATCCAAATTACATTAAAGGAAATAAGTGTAAAATTGGATAAGCGATATCCCCCGGTTTTGAGAAACGTTTTTACTTGAGCAGGCCTGGAGACAGGTCTACGGTTTTCTCTTGAGAGGTGTAGTACCCGGCGCTTAAGGTAATTTTAGGCTTAAGAAGGGGGGCTAAAAAGGGGGGAGGTTAGAAGGGGGGCTGGTTAAGTTAGAGGTTGGCGGTTGTAAATTGTAAAAAGGGGGAAAATTAGAGTAATTAATTAGTCGACATCGTTGACTTAGTTACATTAGACATTAACACGCGTTGGTAATAATAAGTGGATATCGAAATTTGAACTTGAGTTAAGGAAGGTACCCTGGTCGGATCGGTAGGGGGGAACGGACATAGACAGTTTTTGTGATACCAATTAAGATCGCTAGCAGGGGGGAAGGAAACGCGTGGCAATTAGGTACCAGACATTTTTTCGATAGAAGGTAGACATTTGTCACCTTTGAATTTTAGGTGGATTCATCTTTCTGTTTTTATTACTTTTTCTTGCTTAGATTTTTGTTGCATTTTGGTAAGGATTTGTGTTTAGTTTTTACACGGACAGGTGATCACAAGATACCTGCGCACAGGTTTTGGTCTCAAGTTGCTTGGAACATTGAAAGAGAGGTAATTAAAAAGAAATAAGAAAGAGGGGGGTCAGCATTTGGCTTTTAAGAGAGGGTTTTTGGCAAAATTTTACTAGAGCTTGAGTGGTGGTACAAGGTACAGTGAATCAAGAAGTCCCCATAACAAAGAAGAAAGAGGTCCCACCGCTCAGACACTTGTCAACAGTCTTGGGACAGTGCCAAAGAAGTCTTGGGACAGAGCAGTCTGGGGACAGTCTTGGGACAGTGCAGTCCTGGGACAGTGTTGGACCAGAACAGTCTTGATACAGTCTTGGGACAGTGGTCTTGGGACAGTGGTCTTGGGACAGTGGTCTTGGGACAGTGGTCTTGGGACAGTGGTCTTGAGACAAGGGTCTTGGGACAGGGTCTTGGGACAGTGGTCTTGGGACACTAGTCTTGGGACAGGGTCTTGGGACAAGGGTCTTGGGACAGTGGTCTTGGGACAAGGGTCTTGGGACAGGGTCTTGGGACAGTGGTCTTGGGACACTAGTCTTGGGACAGGGTCTTGGGACAAGGGTCTTGGGACAGTGGTCTTGGGACAGTGGTCTTGGGACAAGGGTCTTGGGACAGGGTCTTGGGACAAGGGTCTTGGGACAGGGTCTTGGGACAGTGGTCTTGGGACAAGGGTCTTGGGACAGGGTCTTGGGACAAGGGTCCTGGGACAGTGGTCTTGGGACAGTGGTCTTGGGACAAGGGTCTTGGGACAGGGTCTTGGGACACTAGCCTTGGGATAGTAGTCTTGGGACAGTAGTCTTGGGACACTAGCCTTGGGTAGTAGTCTTGGGACACTAGTCTTGGGACACTAGCCTTGGGACAGTGGTCTTGGGACACTAGCCTTGGGACAGTAGCCTTGGGATAGTATTCTCAGGACAAGGGTCTTGGGACACTGACGAAGTACTGGGACAGTACCGAACAGTCTTGGGACAGTAGAAAGAAGCCTGGGACGGTACAAAGAAGAGTAGGGACGGTAACTGGAAGTCTTAGGACGGTATAAAAATTGAAGTAAAATTACAATAAGTGTTTGAGAAAAATTTAAAACAGAACAACACTAGTCGGAACCCGGTACGGTTGGGACCACAAATAAAGAAAGTTTCAAGAAAGGTTTTTATCACGTTGTATATTTCCTCTTAAGAATTCTTTTTCACAAAATTTTTTATTCTTAGAATAGAGTTGTGTATAGAATAATATTGTAAATAAGAGCAATTGTAAATAGAAATAATGAGACGGAGTAGGGTACCGGTGCTTGAAAAAAGGTCAAGTGGATCAAACACGAAATATAACTCGTCGCTGCGTGGAACGACATCAAGGGGCCCAGGCAAAACAAAAAATAACTTTTCAGTTAGCATGGTCAGCACGAGGAGTGGCACCGAGAGCAAGACGAGAGAAGATGCGAGGGAAAAACAGGTGGAGCCTACAATCGAAATCGACCTAGAGACACCAGACCAGAGCGTAGATGAAAGGGAGAAAAAGACGACGGAGTCAACTCCAATGCCCAATGCAGAAGAACCAAACCCGAAACCCATAGAGTTCTCACCAATAGACAATGTGGAAGATGCAATAGGCAACACCGAAGAAACGGTGAAAGAAGACTCTCAATTAAAAAAGACATCTTTTACAGAAAGGTTGGCGATGATGGTCGGAATAAAAACGAAAGAAAACATGACTGAAGAACCAAAAGCTGAAAGAGCACGAACATTTGGGACAGTGAGCACGAAGACGACAGAAGCCAATCCAAGAGAGGAACAAAATAAAGCAGAAGCTACGGCCGAAGACAGACCGACGGCTGACCATGAAGAGGCTACTATTGAGCTAGGTGACTTGATGGCGAAACTGAATCAGATCGACAAAAAACTGAAGCACAGCGAAGAGGACAGAGAAGTGATAAGAAAAGAATTAAGATACAACAAACACGAGTATCTGGATAGTTATTTTAACCTGGCTAAGGCAACAGATGAGAGACTCAAGGAGATGTCAGATAAGGTAGAAACCACCAATGAAGAACGAGATAAGAACATTCATGTGCAATACAGACGAAATTGGATGCAATCTTGAGAAATTCTACCTCACAAGAAAGACCGGCAGCGGATCGCATGCAAGGCACCAGAGTTGACTTTGTGGAACCACAAAGGGGCAAACGCAATCGACACCGTTGCCCTTAACCCGGGATACGGTGAGCATAGCACCAACAGCTGCTAAAACAATCATGAAGAATGGAACGTCAAGTACATTGACTTGCCCGGGGGACTCAACAGCTAACAGCAACGCAGGTCCGGATGCTATGACATGGGCAAGCACTTGGGAGATGATGAACAGGACTCTAGAGGCCTTCGCCACGAGGAACACTGACTCGAGCGATA